GGCCACTTTTCTCCTTGACAATGGGTGGCCGTCTTACACAGGTTTGACTATATATATATATAATATGTATATATGTAAATGAAATTTCTTTTAGTAGGTTTTTCACTTAACGTGGCTTGTTGATTTTTGGTTTGTGCATTCTACCTTTAAGAATTGTTTGACAATATGGTTTTTGATCACCTGAAAATTATGTGACATCAGTTGTAGGATTTCTGTTCTTCATTGCATTGCTAATCATTTGTCATATTCTATTTTAAGATAGCAATCTTACAGCAATTAAATAATGTGTTTTGTAAGTGAAAATGCGTATCTGTCTATTGTCAAGCCTTGTATAAACATAGGGTAGCATAATCTATTCCCTCCAATAGTGAATAAGACTATTTGATATATGTTGTCACGGTCTTATGTTTCATTTTTTGCACCTTAATATTTTAATATGTTTATTTCTGTTTATTTTCAGTGTTCATTTTTGCCAAGATTCAGCATCTATATTGAAACCAAGTATGAAAATAATGCAGGCACAACAGAAAATGTAAGTGCTCTATAGCCTAAATTTGATTATATTGTGTACATGTCATGCAGATTTTGTTGGTAATGAATATTATTAAGGCTAGAAATTTTTTTTATGTGCGCTATTTTTGTCAAGATAGACATTTGATGGTCCGGTGCAATCTCATGTTTGTCAACCACATCTCAGAGCTAGAAAATCTTCTCAAATTTTATTCCATTGTTTTTATAAGCTTTTTGTTATTTTTCCCAACTATGTATGAAATCAATGCTGTACGTTATATTATGTGAAATGCAAAAATGGCAAATTTTGTTTACCTTTCCTTTCTCTAAAAAGGAACCATTTCAGCACTTTGTCAACATGCTATGGTAATGATGCTTGTCAGACTTTGACCAAAATCAAACAGTTCCTCCATTTCATAAAAAGTGTAAATGCACAGGCACATTTTGAAGTCAGGAAAAAAGAAATTTGACCTCTTAGGACTAGACAGGAGAAAAGGTGTCTTTTTGTTGATTTATTCAAAATAGCTAGCTTTAACATAGCATGTTGAAGTCATACTGCCTTGTGAGTCTTTTTTAACAAGAGTCAAGAAGCCTAAGAACTGGCACGTAATTGTGGATTTTTCCAAAAGGATCACTTTTTTTTCAGATATGCAGTTTGCCTCCTGAAGAACTTGAAAAAAGAGAAGTTGACTTTGTCGATATTGCATATGACCCACTGCCTCCAAAACATTACAAGGAAGATGAGGTATGTTATTCCATTCACCAGCGGCATAAAGTGTAATGGAGACTAGTTGAACCCCTTTTTAACCCCTGTCCTGCGAGGGCTGGGTTTATGTCGCCCGATAAGCCTATTTCGACTCCTCGCCTGCGTTCTGGTCCCAAGTCAGTCTAGCCCCTGGCTCAGCGCACGCGCACCGCGCATCATCTCATGTGAAATTCGGGTCCCGAGTCGGATCCCCATTCACGCAGGTCAAGTGTGTGTACGTCAGTCTGCTTGAGTTTGTGTGCGTTTATGGCCTTCTTCTAGTACCGCCTACGTTGGTTCGTAATCGAGGCATACGTCGCATTCAAGACACGCCAAGTTGGTAGCTCTAGATGTTCGTCCAATGAAATTATAGAAGAAATTGACCCACTTAGACATGAGGAGCTCGAAAGGATAGTCAGGAAACAAGACTTCCATTTTTGTATACAAAATCTTTCAAATGAGCTTGATTTTGTATGAAATGATACCACCTGATAAAAAATAAGCTTGTTTGATCAAAGTTTTAAATACCATTGTGCAGGTACAGAGAACAATTTGAGTGCAAAACATTTGTAAATTGACCTATATTATACCCTTTCAAACCTCAGGTCATTCATAACAACAAGAGCGTCAAGAAAGGTTATTTGAATGGGCGTAACTACTCGTAATATCTTATCAGCTTGTGAGAGGGGGTTATTCATGTGTTCGTAACACTTTATAAATAGAAAGCTATAAAAGATAGAGCGTTATTTTCATTATCGATTAACACACTCCCGCGGTTTTCATGGCGAAAACACATGTTTCTCGGTGCGCGCGCTGTACACCAACAGTACACACTGAGTGACCCCTGTGGCCTGCCCAGAACGTCCAACGTAATCGGTTGCTGATAAGATTCGCATCTCAGCACAGACGCAGGACAAGAGTTAATGTTGGTTTTGTCTTCCAAGACCATAGTTACTAATTTGGATAGGTGCTTATAGACTGCAGATATGTACATTATATTTAATTCATAGTTATGTATAAAAAACCCAATCAAACTCTTCCCTCTGTATGATGTGACCAGTAATTGAATTTAAATTCCAACATTGGCAGGTGATGAGAGATGATGAGTGTTTGACCAAATGTTTTGATTAATTTTGGATTGGAATAGAGATTTTGTAAACTTTGCTCTTGGTTTTGTTCTTTTAAAGATTTTGTAAGTTCAGTTCCAAACTTTTCACTTTTGCACTGTGACATGAATCTCTTTTAAAACTTGTGCCGAAAATGTACATGATATCAAGGCAGTTTTATATTTTTTGCTTCATCAAATGGTCAGGGATCTGTGTTTAGTAAGTTCTATTCTGTGCCACCTCACTTTTTATATGGTCTGTCAAAGGGTAATAGGTCCCTATTCATTTGTTGGTACATTCATTTTCTTGCACTCACCGTGGACATGCGAACAAGGATTGAGTAGCTTTTCTATCTTTCCTCACTTAAGCTAATAAGAATGTGTACTGAACGAAGCGGACAAATTTGAAAATATTATGTAAAAATATTTGTTGCAGAAGAATTGTTTACAGTAAACAAATAGTTACTTGAATTATTATTTTGAAAGAATCTTGCGGCTGGCCTTTTCTCAAGCCAGTTTTTAAACTGGAATTTCCTTTTAAACTGTGTACAGATAGTTGACAAAATATAACTTCAACTGAAAATCACTTGTTTCTCCTCAGGATCCTGCAAAGTTTAAATCAAAGAAAACAGATAGAGGCCCCCTTGAAAGTGATTGGAAGGTAAGAACATCTGCTTGTATTAATTTAGTTTATTTAAGAAAGCTTGGATTTAAAATTACCCATATTGAGTTTGACTCATTGATCAATGATGTTGCAGATTGTGTATAGAAATTGCATTGCCAGAAGTTTCTCAAGTTTTATTTCTTAAGCTTTAGAAAATTCCAGTTCATTCAATCGGACGAATTTTTATTTCTTTATAAAAGTAGCATATTATTCCCTGATTTCTTTGGACTGTTCTGATTTATTTCCTGTGCCTTTGTTAGGGTGTCTGTTCAAAAAGTCCCAAAAAATTGTTATGTGAATTTTTGAAGTCAGTGTGGTTAGTATTAAATTACTTTTCTTTCAGTCTAACTTTTCTGGAAAAAAGTGATACATCTTTTTGATGCTTTTAGAGTAAGGCAAGGGTTAATGGTAAAGGTAGTGAGAAGTGTGAGTAAACCTATGGCACACTGCTGTGAAGCATCATGTTAATGCAACTCTTTCAAGCCTAAAATAATGTCACATCAGTAGGCCTATGTAAATTATGTTACTATCCGTTTTGAACTTTTCAATTACATTTGTATTGTTGGAAGAATCTGTCACTGTTTGTGTCTTTTGTTAGATCGATTACCCCTCTTTCCTGCTTCTTTTTTGCCGGCATGCCTTTAGCACACTAATTTCATTTACACATGCAGGTGCACAAGCAAATTACCTCATCCATGTCTGATACTTGTATTGAAGCTCATCTATGCATTCTGTTGTAAACTCTTAAAACATTTTTATTCTCATAGGAATCCTCAACACCTCTGATGTGTTCTTACAAGGTTGTCAAAGTGAAATTTGAAGTTTTTGGTTTGCAAGGAAAGGTGGAGTCATTCACGCATAGGGTAAGCTTATGGTTACTTCTGTTTTGTGTGAAGTGAAATCCTTTTCTTTCATGTAAATACAGGCGAACCTGCCATGACGGCCACCTCTGTAAGACGGCCACCTGTACAAACGGCCACTTTCCATTTCTCCTCTTGCATTTTTACTATATAATTTCACTGTGTAAAATGGCCATCTGTCCAATGCGGCCACGGCCACTATATTTCAACACACAACCCCCATCACACCAAACAATAACACCTGTCTTAGATGGCCACCTTAGTGACTCAATTACATTTTGTCATAAATTATGCCTTGGCCCCTTGCGTTGTAGGTGAGCCGTCATAATCCAATCACCTGTCGTTGTTGTAAAGGAGTTCCCTCCAACCGATCATGTTGTGTTGGCCCCTCCCATTGTTGACCAATAGGTAACAAATTTTCAACTGCTGGTGAGCCATGGAAATGTGGAGGTAGCAAGAGGGTTTTCTGTCAACAAAGAGGTCTCGGTGTTGAACATGGCAGAGAAAACAATCACAGCAAGACGAGTCATCTGCCAATTCATCAAGAGTCATGGTTCTTCCGCAACAGTGCTACTGAATAAAGCCCTGGTGTCTTCCTGCTGTGGAGCTTAGGAGATACAAAGCTCATGAGCTCAATGTTCAAAGCAATGCAATTCGTAAGGAGTCAAAGGCTAAGAAAACAGCTCTGTGAACTCAACACTTACATCAAAACCTTGGAGTGTGAGCTTGAACTATAAAAGTGCAAGTTCGAGTAGAATCAGTTTTGTATATAGTGTATATTAGCTGTTGTTACTACATGGATCCTATACTGTTTATCAGGGTATCGATTATTCCCAAATCAAGCAAATTTCTGTGAGTTAAGATAATTTACACTTTGAAGCCATCTCACTCATAGGACTACCATTCTCAGTTGAGCACGCCCATATAGAAAGAAATAATCACAGACCCTATAATGAATACTAGTACTTGAGAATCCCATGGAGATACTGGAGGTTTCCTGAGGAAGACACTTGCCCTAACAAATTGTATTGGAAGTGGATTGGTGAAGGCACCCAAATTCATGGGCCTTGTACAGGATAAGCTACTGTTGGATCAATGCCATTACTAGTACAAATTTCAAGATCAGCCCACTCTACAAGGACAAGGAAACCAAACTCTGGAGCCTATACTGGATTATTTACAGTTGGGCCTTCCCTAGTCAAGTATAAAAGTCACTTGGATTGAAGTTACGACAGAAGTTGAGATGAGAAATTTTATGTTTACTGGTTGATCTGTAATATTTTTTAATATGGCATGTTATTGATGGCGCAAAATAACCTTTTGAGCTGGTGTGGGGCTTGATTTACTAGGTAGTAAATTTGTTTTCCAGGTAGTAAATTTTTTCAGGAAATATTGCTGGACACCATGCAGCATAGGGATCTGCAGGAGCTCATGTCCTGCGTGCTCAGGGACATGAGCTCAGGAGTTTCATTGTCATAGTCAGAACTCTGACGAAAAATTCCTGTGAGGATAAAGTTGTTGTGTTTACTCTTTTTCTCCCAAAAATGTGGATTTCAATATTGGCATACTTCTTTTGATAGCATTTTGACGTACTTTTGTTTTCCCACCTTTTCAGACTGTGAGGGACATATTGCTTCTCGGCCATAGGCAGGCTTTCGCATGGATTGATGAATGGATTGGTGAGGCTCTGGTTTTAGGGGGTTTTTTGTGTGCTTTTTTTGGCAATTTTTTTTTCTTGTATTTTCTTCTTCTTTTCCTTCTTTTCTTTTCAAAATTTTTTGTCTCATCAAAGTTGTGTAAATCCACACATCATCAAGGAAATCCGCTCTCATATTGTTGTTTTTGATCCTTTTCTGTTTCTTTGGATGTTCCTCCCGCTTATTTTCTTCTTTTTGTTTTTGCTTCTTTATTTCTTCCTCCTTTTTCAATTAGTTGTTTTATTTATACCTAGCTTCTGACTGCATTTGCCATTTAAAAACATGGATAAATGGGATACATTTAAGATTCTAGTCATGAACTGCAACAAAGTTTTGTTTTTTGTTTACATATAAAACTATTACATTTTATTCCTTCCTTTAGACATGACACTGGAAGACCTACGTGAGTATGAGTCGTCGACAAACGAAGCCACCAACAAGAAGGTCTTGGAGTCCTAGGGGGCGTAGATGTCCATTGTGTCTCCTACCGGGAGAGTCCCACTGTTTTGTGATTCCGTTGGAGCAACCATGGTGTCACCAGTCTGCCAAAATGTGCCATTGAGTAAGATCTGTCAAGGACAAAGGGAGGTCATCTGGCATTCTTCTTGTTGCGAACACATTAAGTAAATTGTCGCTGTTATTGTTATTTACTATTTTTATAATTGTTACTGATTATTATTTTTATTTTTTTATTATCATTATTGTTATTATTATATTATTATTATTATTATTGTTATTATTATTATTATTATTATTTTTAGTATTAGTTTCTAAAAGATTTTTTAAAGCACTATTGTTCTTGCTGTTGTCCTTGTTTTTCTTCCTGTTATTTTTTTCAGTGATTCAATCAAAACTGAATGTTTCCCATAAAAGAACCTGAAAATTATGAAGGAGTGAACAATCTTCTGTATTTCCATTGGTATCTTGTCGTCGTTCATGACGTTGTTATTTTTTTATTAAAAGAGCACAACTATTGTAGGGGCATGTTTCTTTTTTACCTGTATCCTGCAAGTTTTCTACTTTCGTATAGTGGAAAGAATCAAAAGTGTATTACTGTTGACATTTTCCTCTGTATGTAGAATTTTGCAGTAATTTGCTCAAAATTGTTGATATTGTAAAATTTAAGACTCCCTGTTTTTCACTTTACTTTAAAAAAAGATTCCTTCCTTGTTAAGAACTTGTCTTAATATTATTTTCGTTTGTCAAAGTCCTCTCACGGCTGCATGAAGGTCCCTGTCAGTTGTGTTCTTAGATGAAGGAGTGCTTGTACTGTTAAGAGGTTCCATGAAATGATTGTAGTTGAAGTTATCTGAAATCTTGTCTTTTGTACACGTTCTCCTCGTGCACTACGTCACAATGATTTTGAGTCCAGTTTTGAATGAAGATGGCACTATTTCACTTCAAAGATAGGAAATTATGTCTGCTTTTCCAGCTGTGTTTTCAATTCCTTCAAATGTTATGTATATTCAAGCCCCTCAAAGTTACATGTAGATTTTAAAATGATATGTTTCATTGGTTTTAAGAGAAAGAAACGACCAAACTGTGATATGATGTTATATAACACAATAAAAGATGAAGGAAAGTTTGTACCGCACATTTGCTAAGAGTAGAAAAAACGCCTTTGATATAATAAGCAAGGTATTGCTGTCTTTGGAGTTTCATATGAAGTGAAATATGCTGATGTAAAAAATTATTGTCAAGTGAAGTTGATTGTTAGCAAATGAAGAAAAAAGTATTTATGTAGTCATTGAATGAAATTCATAGTTTGTAAATGAAAAAAAAGTATATAAGTAGTCAAATGAAGATTTTAATTTACAAATGAGAGAAAATAATTATTATTCAAGCTTAAAATATGGACGGAGATCATCTTTGTTTAGGCATATGTTCATTGTGTATTTTCTAAATTTATTTTTGTTACTGGAAATGAATGCTTTTCCAGATTGTGCACCATATACCAAAGAAAGGCTCATGATATAGCATCATCTTTTTTTACAGGGCATTTACAATTTGCATTCTGGAGCAGATAGTTGTATTTTAAACTCAGCTATATGCAATCACAGACACTTTTTAAAAGAATTAATTTGTAATTTTTAAAATTCAATTTTTTGTTTCTCATTTTCAATGTGGAAATGATAGTGCAGTACACTTTTCAAAGTTTGGACGTAGAAACTTGTACTTATCAGTCTCTCTCTTTTTGTCCTGTTGGAGCTAGAGAGAGCTCTGGTTTTTCTCATAATGGTCGAACGATTCTAGGATGGGAGCTATTTATATTTCTTGTTTGTGTTGTCATTAATGATTAAGTGAAATGTGGCAATTACGAACTGACCAATGAAATAGATAAGCTTTGGAAGGTCCTTTGTGGTAATGCTTAATAAGTGCATGAAGGATTCAGTGATCTAACCAACACTAGCCTATCCAGTAAAAACATTGGTTGTCTCAGTACATGTATAAGCTTTGTAGAACAAGCTTAAGTGTAATAGTTAAGTAACATTTATGCTTCAAACTAAATCTGCTGATTGCAATTTTAGAAATAACCTGTGTTTAACTAATGGTTTTGCTGCAAGTGGCTAGATTTTTCCCTTCTAAAGACTGAAATATTGATAAACATTGTATCGCACCCCTGTTTATCTCTCCGATGACAACAACAGACAGTGTGTGTTTTCTGTTTTACCTGATTAAAAGCCCATAATGGGCCTCAAGTATAACCTGAACGCACATGCTGAAAGCATCTTCTGTTGGATGTGAACACTGTAATCTCAGAATTCGAGGAAGGTCAAGTTCTTTCTAATCGCTTAACCATCAAATGGCTAAAAGATGACCATTTATAGCCCAGTAAAAGCTGCTAAAAATCTAAACTTCAGCAAATGAGAAATATAGATACATACCAAAGGCATTATTGATACGCCCGAAAAGTGGCGCTTACCCACAGTATATTTTAATCATCCTCAACTATTGATATCTCTTCAAAGTTATCATCAGTCAATTCAAAATGTGCCTTGTGTTTCCCAGGTTGAAAATGATTACTTACATGATCGCCATTACAGTCACATGGCACAAATCTGCATGGGGCATGGAGGCACAATCAGGGCCCATTGTCAACTGTGGTCTTCCATACCTAAACTATGTGGTAATTTGAGGCTTGTGACTTTCCACAAGTAATGTGTTACCTGTTCATGTTTTTAAGAATTTTCCATTTCAGAATTAGCCAGGTGATAAAATATTAAAATGCAGTATAACGCGGATAGGTCGAACATAGAAGACTCGAAGTCACACATCCGTCGAACGGTGGCTACGGTCCTGTTTTTTTTTTCCGTTCTTTATTTTTGTAAGCAAATTACATGGAGCGCGAACACAGGCACAGAATAGTCAAACTAATTACACCGCTGTAGAGGTCTAAAGTCAATGTCCCTCAGGGTGCACTTGAGACAAAATGATAATAATGATAATTAAAAGATACAGAAAAAGGCAAGGTCTGTTAAATACCACCTTCCCCCCTCCACAGAAGCAGCTAGCTGTGCTATTTTTAGCGCGCTGCTCGACATGCATGCCTAATGGTCTCTGCATGTGCCTAGGCCCTAGGTCTAGCTAGGTTTGTGTGGAGCAGGCAAGAGGAAGGGTTGTGCATACTTTCTATTGTTTTACCCCTAAAGTAACAATCTTTGTTGCTTCCCTTGATTCTCTGACACAGCCGCTGCCATAACACTGTTCACGCATCTCTCGAACTATGGATCACTCGGAGTACCGAGGCCGGTCCCAACGAATTCAAGCTATCCGTGTTATACTGTGTACAAGCCATTGTGTCTTTTTATTTAATGTAGACTTTCCTCCACTGCAGTGTTTACAAATATTTATTCTTTTTTTTTTGTGTACCATTCCAAGAGAATAGTGTGGTTGGATTTATATTTTACGATGTGTGCTTATGAGTGTTCCAGATAGTGAGTGTTTAGTGAAAGATGTGCTCTTACTAACAACTAGTTTAATACAAAGTTCCTGAGTGGGAATTTATTTTAACCCGAATGTGATGATCTCCTTTCTCTGTCACATTCCTTAAACAGTTCTATAACCCCATGCATGAATGTGATAACCCATCGAAAGTTCAGCTGTAATATGGAACGATGGCGGGAAGGTGCTTCTGGTAGATCATCCTTCTCTGCTATGCTCCCCCCCCCCCCCCTAATTTATTTCTGTCTGGTGCCCGTCTCGCTTTTTCTCCAAGCACAAGTAGCTCATACTCTAAGGTATCGAATAAACGGGGAGGGGGGGGGGGGGGTCAGGAATAAGCAAGGGGTGTGGACAAGTGGTCCAAAATTAATTTTAAAAAAGGGGGGGGGGGAGAATTCAACCTCATGCCCTCATGCCCATGTACTAGTAGGAACAAATCTGTTTTTTTCTCCTTCAGTGAATAAAAGAACAAGAGATCATGAAATTTTTGTTATTTTAGTAAGTTACTATGACTATTTTTCCTATTTAGGAACTAATCAGTTTCGTTAAGAAAATATATAAACCAATGTACAAAAGTTTTAAAAATGCACCGAAAATTGAGCACGGCTGTTCACGAGCAGTACTTTAGTTCTACTGGCACCCCGCAGTGCCCCGACGCTCAGCGTAACTCGAACCAGCCATTACCAACGGGTCAAGAGGTCAGCGCGGGGAATTATACCCGACTGACAGATTCGCGATGAAAATGTAATTGCAGCAGTTTTCAGCTTTGTTTAACCTGCGACTAAGCCCAAACTACAACACCAACTGTGCATAAAACCGTATAATTTGAATAAGCATCATCTGACATATTTCTTAGAGCAATCATGCAACTAATTAAGAAAAAGGAAGACGAGATGACGAAGAAAGAAAAGTGGATACATGTAACATTGATAGAGGGTCATGATTTATTTCATTAAATTTGAACATGAAAGCTGCTGTCGATTTTGACAATTCTAAGATATTGGGTCAGAAACTGAGTAAAGTTTCAAACTCACTTGGCTGCATCTGTGTGTCTTTGCCTAAAGCAAAGATATTAAGTCTTGAGTAGAGATTCACAGGTTTTCGCAATATGTCCTCAGTTCCCATAGTCGGCTTAGTGACGACTCTTGATAAAAACGTATCACTCTAGGATCGCGGGTATCACCAGTCAGGGTGTCAGCACTTATAACTGCATTTAAGCCTACTGTCACAATATTGGTAAACACACTATATAATTATTATTACATTTTAAGAGATGCTAGATCTAGATTTGAAAGAAAACACACATACAAAAATCTTGTGAACACTGAACAAAAGACGTCTAGATCTATTATATCAGTTTAAAAAAGAAAAAAATCGCAGAAAAACGAGACAAAGTTGAAACTTACACCATTTGTACATTATACCTCTCCCTACTAGATTTGTGAATAGATTTGAAACTAATGGTGAATTTACGAAGTTCGTGGCGTTTAAATTCAAATAATACTGAAAAAGGAGAGCGACTCGATAGAAACACGTCTTGGGGAACATCTAGATCTATGTTGTTTTGTTTTTTTTAATAATTAAAAAAATCACAGATAAATGACACAAGTTTGAAACTTGCACAATTTGTACAGTACTATCCCTACTAGATTTGTAAAAAAGATTGGAAACTGATGGTGATTTTACAAAGTTATTGGCGTTTAAATTCAAATAACACTGAAAAAGGAATCCGATTCGATAGAGACACATCTTGGGGAACGTA